GACAGACCATTTTTCATGGTTAGACACCTGGGCTGACTAGATTGTTTTTTGGCTAGAAGGAAACGTCATTGCATTTCTTTCACAGACAAAAACCGAGTATCATTATGACAGAAAAGTGAAGATGATAGACTAGAAAAGTGAAGATCTTTTTAAACTTCATAATATAAAATTATCTCATGATCTAAAGTGAGAGAAAGAATGGTAGTGTTGAGAAGGGCCCTGTCAGGTACATATAGGGAGTAAAGAAGTGTATGCAGATGTTAGAAGTATTACTTCTGCCATATTTATGTTCAAATGTCATGGATAAAGAAAAAGACCAGGTTAACAGCTTATTTTTAAAAATCATAAATCATTTAAATAGTGGCTTATTTATAAAAAAATACATGTTGTTTTTTTGGAGTCTGATGATCTGGATGGATGGCAATATTTATTTTGTACCTAAACCCAGATGCTGCTGCATGTCTTTTTGGGAGATATTTGGAGAGGGATATTAACACTGAGGAGATTGTGGAGTCACTTGGAAAAAGTGCTTCAGATGAGTCTGAACAGGCAAGCACCTAAATCTACAAGCCAGGAAAAGAAAATTGATTATTTCTGAGATGGCTGAGTGAGAAAAAACTAAAAGGATGGTGATTGCTGCATTGACTGCAAATTAATAATATCCATAATCATAATGGTGATCACCTAAAATGGCAATGAGATCAGATTTAAACAGCTTAGCATTTAAAGCTTCGGTGGTTCTCATGCCATTTTAATGAAAAGCATTCTACTTCTGCACATTTACAGCATTTTCAAGTAAGTACAAACATATCATTTGCCAGAATGATCAACATTATGTGCCTTCAGTCTCCAGACTGACTAAACAATTCTCCTCTTCTTGTAACTAGCAGACATGAGGAAAAGAGGCAAGCTACTGAGACTCCTGCTCTCGACACTGGAGTCGCTTGATTTAAAACTCCTTTCACTTTAACAGAGTAAGATTATGAGGCAATCAGTGCCTCCAAAAAAAGTGCTAGGTTAAAATATATTAGACCAGTTTTCCACTGACCAGTGTTTATATTTGCATATGGTCCCAAGAGACAGTGATCAAAATCCCGAACACTGGGAAACAACAGAGTATGGGAATGTTCTGTTATTTTTTTTTAATATCTCCATCACTAACAGGAATGTCAATAGAGATTTTCAGATTGTAGTAAGCTGACAGGTATGATGGGCAGACTAAAAAACAGGGATTTGATCCAGAGGGATATTGTGAGACCAAAAGAAAACTATTGGTCCAAAAATGTGAGCAAAAAAGTGTCCCTGTATTGGTCAGAGGCTAATTTAGTGAACTAGAAAGAATCAAAGAAATGTTTCTTCCAAAGACATCTGTGGATAGGAGGTAGAAGTACATTGTATTATTTTAATAATTTTTGGTATCTTGAGTGTTAGGTGTGTTAGGTGTGTTAGTGTTAGGAATTGGCCACTGCTACATAGATAGATGATGCAGACTAAAACCTCATAAAAGCTTCCAAAGTTATATTGCCTGTTTCTTTTTTAAAATTTCAAAATCAGCATGCTAAAATATACCACAGTTTTTACTGCAGTTACAGACTTGAGTTTTTTAATGCACAGAAAAACTGGATCTGACGACATGTAATCAAACTCCTCCACAAATTATGCTTGTGCATGTAAATGCAGCATCACCCTTTGGACAGAACCAGGGTAGTCACACAAAGCCAAGGGACTAATTAAATGTTAATGATCTGCTTCTTTTGTTCCCCCTTCTACCCAGCTTCCCAGAGCCACTCCTCTATTTCCACTTACAGATGCTGAAGTGCTAAATATTATCTCTGTGCTTGGGTTACATGGTCATGGGATTCAAAGAGATCTCACCCAGTGCACATTTGAGCAAGAAAGGGCCCGGGAGAACTCCCTCTACCTTTCTTTTTCTCCCACAGTGGACCTGTACAGGCTGCTCATGCCTCTGCCTGTCTTCTTGTATCACTTTTGGGATTGCTCATTGATTTCAGTGAATGCTTTTTTCTCACTTTCAAATTCAACTGGCAGAGGATAATTCATCTCTCGAAAATATTGCGAGGTGGAGACGATTGCAACCCTGTCTGGAAAGAGGGTGTCAAAGAGTATCTGCAAACAGAGCACAGAACATGGGGGAGTTATATTAAAAAGGGGAGGCTTTGCTCAAATCTTTGTTGATGGTTTATTTCTCTTAAGAACTGGAGCTCATATTAGTATATCACTGTTATCAGTTTCTAGTTTTCTGCAATCATGGCTGGTTTTCCATGGTGTTCAAAAGCAAGCCACCACTTTTAAAAGAAATATTGTCTCAGCTTTAGTTTTTAAAATTTAAGAAATAATTTTGGCAATATCTGTTATGCAATACTCCTATCATCTTTGAAATAGATAATTGAAATATTAACATGTCTTTGAATAATTTTAGCATTATATGGTTTATTTTTTGTTAAATAGGGGCCTGAGACATGCATCTATCTTTTACCACGTAAGTAATTAGATATACATCCTTCTCCTCTCATTTTAAAAAAATAGCTTGTTTTGCCTTTTGGTTAGAGCACGCTGATGGTGCATCACCTCTTCAGTGTTTCAGCTAAGTTGCTAAGCTACCTTAAGTCTGCTGCTTCCAGTAATGAAACCCCATCCCAAAAATATGAGTGGCAAGCACTAAAACAAATGTGCCCCAAGAGTGCAGAGCATAAGCAGAAGTTTGGAGGGGAGGGATAGCTGTGGGTGAGAAAAAAAGTGGGCTTTTCTTTCCATTGCTATAACCATTATTGCATTTTTATGACACATTCAGCAAAAAATAAAAGATGGAGCATCATCTGGATAGCTTCTAGGTGAAGAGAGCAAATGAAAATGCAAATGGGGGTGAGAATGGAGATAATGTACAGAGAAAGGGAGGAGCCAGGAGGCAAATAGACAGACAGATAATTGGATCAAATTCCCTGGAGGAAGCTTCTCTCTATTCTTGCCAGGCTCACCTAGGTCCATCTAAGTCGGTGAAGGGAGAGATCCCTGTGCTGTGGGCACTTCCAGCATGGAGAGATTCATGAAAGAAGGGATGCTGAGTGGCTACTGGGATAATTTGAAGATTACACATTTTCGGATGCAGGTGTAGAAAAGATAGGTTATCTGGGGAGATGCTGTTCTCCCACATCAGTCTTTATATAATTTTTCTGTAGTTCTATTCTTTAATGTTTGGGTGTGCATATCCTGTCTATGTCAGGAGTTAGTGAATACTGTATAGTGGCCTGAGGATCAGTAACTAGATAAAAAAAAATCTTTTTGAATTCTGGTTTGCATTATGTCTTGACAGGAAAGCAAATGTCACCCTTTCAGCAGCAAACTATTAAATTTCAAGCATGCTGCAGGTAAATGATGAATTCCAAACTGATAAATGTGGGATTTCCTGTGCCACAAGTTATTTTGTTTGTCTTGGTGGTTTATGTTTCAGTTTTATGAAGAAATATGTCTGAAGAAGGGCCCAGAAAATATTGACTGAGGCTTTTCTTCGGATATAGGTCTTAATAACCATAGGTCTACAGCAATCCGAATGTGAAAGTAAAATCACACTCCATCCTGATGCTCAGATGTTAAATACAGATGTGCTTCTACACCCATTCTGTCATCCTGTACCTCTTTATTAGCTGGTTCACTTTAAAACCAGCTAATGCACAGAAAATGAAAACATGTTGAGATTTTATAGGAAATAGATTTTTGCACCAGATACAGACCCCTCCAGAGCCTTACTGGTAGTCAACTGGAAACTTTCTTTCAAACAATTTCCTGGCAAACATTACTCTCAGGTGCAGTGACTGACTTTTCTATGGCCTTTAAAATCCATTTGTGCTTTAGGCTTTATTCAGCTTACTTGTTTTTCAAACATCAGTTGCAATGCTTGAAGATGTAACAGCAAAACAACTTTTGCTCTCTCTTCATGTTACTTTGGCATTATTTTATTCTTTATTCTCAAAGGCTTTTCCTGACACACTGCGCACAAACTGACTTTCAGCTCAAGCTCTGTAAGCCAGGGATATCCCTGTGCCTCTGGGGCTTCTGGGCCATGTGGATTTCTAGGAAATTTATTGAAGCTTTTGCATCATTGCCATTGTGTGAGCTCTATTTCTTACAGGTTCCAACTTTGTCTCCTGCAGATTTCTGTAATCTGTTCTAAATACTGCATTTTCTTTTTCTGCCCAATATCTTAATTCTTGATGGTGACAGGGCTTCTGCAATCAACTCCATCATTCTTTTCCTTCTCAATAATAAGATTACTAAGAAGTCTATTACCTGGGAAAAACTACTTTATTTAGGACAGTTTATTAAGCCATTTGTGACTTTGGATTGTGTTGGTTTTGGTCCTTATCTTGCCTCCATATCTTAAAAATTATAAGAATCTTACTAGAGAGTATAATGTAACATTGCAACACATCCTAGAAATGGACAGCTAAGGCATAGAAAAGTAGCAAGGCAAAGGAGATCTAGGAGAGAGAACGAAGACTAAAAATATATTCTTTTGCTTTCCTACCCTAATCTTATTTTGCCACACCTACAAAGCAGAACAAATTTGTACCACAGAAGGAGACAGAGTAAATCAGAATCTGAAAGCTAAAATCTATCACTTCAGCTGCAAGAATTCTGTAAGATTGCTAGTACAGTACTGAAAGTTTTGCTAATTGAAAATCAGCATTGAAATATTATTCTGAGAAGCTAAAGAAGAGAAGCAAATCTCTGGTAGCTTGTCTGCCTTCCTGTAGCTACTGGTAACTTGTGCTGCATGTGAACCCACTGTGCTGTGCCGTGCGATGTTTCGCAGAGGCTCAGAATCAGCAGCCCCTCCACTTTCTGCAGCTCCCGAGTCCCATTGGCTGGAAAGAAAAGCAGAGGCGGAGAGTGCCCTGAATATTTTTCTCTTCCACACACGGTGAAACAGGCAGACAGCATGCACTGCCTGGCAGTGAGACTGGTGCTTGCAGTTTGAAAAGAGCTCCTGCTCCGCAGCAGTCACTTGGGCATTTTATGGTCGCATCTCTTTGATGGAAAGCACCAAAAAGCCTTGCAGCATCCCAGTGAGCTAAAGAGGAACTGACCACATGGGAGGATCTGATGCACACATAGAGACTGTTGGGACTCTGTGACATAGATCACCAAGGTAAATGTGATGATGATCAGAAACTGTGTCTGTAAGGGTGTAAACCAGTTCTTCTGAGTATGAAATCTTATTTTTTTCACAGTAGTCAAAGTGTTCTGAACTGCTGCCTGCCTCAGTCATAGCTTATTTTACTTTTTTATTTCCCCCCCAAGCTGAAAAGCCAAAGAAGGTTTTCAAAGGAATGCAAAAGGAACGGGATTTTTAGAAGCAGGAAGCCAAAAGGGATCTCCATAAGATGAATTTCACCCAGCATCGTGGGACACTCCAGCCTCTCCATTTCTGGAACCACAGCTACAGACTGCACGGAGGAGCCAGCGAGCCCAATGCGAAGGGCCACTCCTCAGGAGGCTGCTACGAGCAACTCTTTGTATCCCCAGAAGTGTTTGTGACCCTGGGCATCATCAGCTTGCTGGAGAACGTCCTGGTCATTGTGGCCATAGCCAAGAACAAGAACCTCCATTCACCCATGTACTTCTTCATCTGTAGCTTGGCAGTGGCTGACATGCTAGTGAGTGTATCTAATGGATCAGAAACCATTGTCATCACGCTGCTAAACAACACAGACACAGATGCACAGAGCTTTACCATAAACATTGACAATGTCATCGACTCAGTCATTTGCAGTTCCTTGCTTGCATCAATTTGCAGTCTTCTCTCAATAGCAGTGGACAGGTACTTTACTATCTTTTACGCCCTCCAGTACCATAATATCATGACAGTGAAGCGTGTAGGGGTTATCATCACGTGCATCTGGGCTGCTTGCACAGTCTCAGGCATTTTGTTCATCATTTACTCTGATAGCAGTGTTGTCATCATCTGCCTGATCAGCATGTTCTTCACTATGCTCATTCTCATGGCATCCCTCTATGTCCACATGTTTATGATGGCTCGTATGCACATAAAAAAGATTGCTGTTCTTCCAGGGACTGGTCCTGTTCGCCAAGGGGCCAACATGAAAGGGGCCATCACTCTCACCATCCTGATTGGAGTTTTTGTTGTGTGCTGGGCTCCGTTTTTCCTACACCTGATTTTCTACATCTCCTGCCCCTACAACCCTTACTGTGTGTGCTTCATGTCCCACTTTAATTTCTACCTCATCCTCATCATGTGCAATTCCATCATTGATCCACTTATCTATGCATTCCGGAGTCAGGAGCTCAGGAAAACATTCAAGGAGATTATATGCTGCTGTAGCCTGAGAGGGCTTTGTGATTTCCCTGGCAAATATTAAACTGAATGGATGGATATGTTACTATGTACACAACAGGCAGCACAGATTTCCAAGCCTTTGGATCCTTTTCCTCAGCAGAATTTGGTTTAAATTTTAAGAGTGAGCACCTCTTTCTGTCTCTCCCTCCCCCCCATTCTTGTGTTCCATTCATGTGGAACTCATATTTATGTATAATATTCATGATGTCTATAATTTGTAATTTATTTGGCTAGAAAGAGCAGTAGCATTTCATGCCAATTTGTAAGTAAGCAAATAAATGTATTGATGAATGTGAAATAGTAACTAACATGAGCAGCTATATATTCCAACTGCTGACAAAATAAATATCTTGCCTGATTTACAGTACACTTTGGCTGATATTGTTTCTTATTCTGTTGAAGCAATTATAGTATCAACTACATTGTATTCAGCTAAGAATAGAGCATATGCTTCTACATTAGTGGATTAAGGGTTCTCTGGAATTAGAAAGCAGATTTTTCAGAAAGGCTAGTGAAGCCAACAAGTTGTATTTATACATTTTGAACCTTCTTGTTTTGCTTCCCAGCGGGAATTCTATTTTTTGTTATAGTTATTGCCCACAAGAAGATTTTTCAAACACTTGCTACACAGCCAGTTGAATGCTTGGGCTTTGGGCTGGGTTTGTCTTCAAGGTGATTGCTGTATGTATAAGAGTACCTTTTTACAAAATTTAAATTGCTCCCTGGAGCATCAAACAGTCCTCGATATATCTACTAGACTGGCATCAAGGCAAACTAGCTCCCTCCATTCAGCCATGAAACAGGCACAATATTAACTTTGACAGTGCCTGCAGCAGTGCAAAAATTTGCCGACAGATTTAGCTGGTGAAGATAAAGAGAGAAGTTCAATTGGAACACTCAGTCCTTGTTCTGAGGTGCTGTGGGGAATAAGGACTCTGTGCTCCAGACGAAAGTACATCTTCGTTGAAAACAAGCTGCCCTGTATTGTGAAGTGTGTTGTGAGCAGATGGGATCCACTGCCAGGATCTTTACACAGGAGTGAAGGCAGGTGTTAATTTGGTCTGAGCACCTCAGCCTATACTGTGGACCATGTGGGCTTTGGAGGGGCAATGCTGTCACATGGAATGAGTGCCTGCTGAGGAGTCTGGCTACCCATGCTCAGCATCATTCACATTTGCAGGCACCTACTCTCTGCCTCAGTTTCACCTTAAAATTCCACTCTCTTCACAGGTTGTTTTAAGGACCTGGTGTTAGTAATTTAGGGGGCATTTAAAATACAAATGTGACTACACAGGGTTCTGTGAAGGTATCCCTTAGTATCTGGACCATATCAGCTTCTATACAAATAGAAAAAAAGTAATTTATTTATTCCAAGAAAGTATAAAACATAGTGAAATTTGTAGAAAGCCTGGAGAGTTCTGGTTTAAAAACTCAAAATTAAAACACGACTCAGGCTTTAAACCTGACTATTTGCTTTTCACCAAGATGAACAGTGAATGAATGAAAAACAGGATGATCAGTCCTATTTATTTTCCTGGAAGCAGATTGTTCTCTCCAGCTGCTAGTTTCTTCATCAAAGAAAAACATACAATGAAAAGCTATTCAAAGAGACCAATGGTTGCTCTCTCGGATTCTCCAGACAGAAGCTGATATTTCAGTTGTGGGTAACTTTTCAGGATATTGTAAAACTACATTTGCTCCTCTCTTAAAGAGCATGAAGGACTTAGGGTGAGTCTCAGTGGTTTTAACTTCAACTATTTATAGGAAGAGCAAGAAAATAATTTGACTTTGTGCACTGAAGTCTCTTGGTAGACCAACAGCACCAACATCAGGTCTCCTACAGCCTTCTCTTGTGCTTGGGCCAATCCATGGGCCTTGCTGCTTGCACCACCACTATTGCCTTTCGTCAGTTTTAAAAATTGTATTTCCACATCATAACAGTCACAGTGTTAAGGGTATTGAAATATATTTACTACATTAACTCTGCTATTTTCTTGTGGAAGAAACTATAAATGTTTCAATAATACCTGGTTCCACTGGGTATAGAATAAAAAATGCCAAAGGAGGAGAACTAAAGTCCAAGCAGAGAAAGAAATGAATGCATTTAAATTAATATTCTATCCAAAAATCCAGTGGGCTTTACTAAAGGCCTTTCCTTCTCCCACAAGACACAATACAAAAATGCTCAAGTAGTAATGAAAGAAAATACTGTTGCCAGTTTTAACAAGGCATAAATCCTACTTGATCTTTGCTGTGCCTTTCTTTGTATCACTGTTTTAGGACTGTAAATTATGACACTGGGGGCTCCAGCTTTTCCTTTTGTAGTTCATGGGTGCAGAGAGGGCCCCTAAGAAAGTGACCAAAGAGTAAAATACTACCTTAGGTGCTCTGGATATTACTTTGAAAGTCTATTTCTCCCCTTCAGATACACAAGAGCAGATACCTCTGATTTCTGAAGAGGCTGTTTTTCAAAAAACCCAGTGTGTATCTCTTTAATACTTATTTGGACTAAGACTAATCAAGGCAGTTGTGACACCATTAGGTTCTAAATTTCATTTATAAATATAAATTCTAAAACTAGCTTATTCTAGAGCTTTAGCAGCTGTGAGCCTGTTTAGCAGCACTTCTTTCTTTATTTCATAATGATAAATGTATATACATATTTTTAATGGAGTTTCTAATTAAAGAAACTCCATTAAAAGAAACTTCATCTAATTAGGAGAACTTTTTCATTTCATGGTATCATTTTGGAGAGTGCAATTCATTGAAATTGTTGGAACACCAGCTACATAGATAATTTTTCTATTCCAAAATAGTCTGTTTCTTCTGAGTAGCTGAATCAGTTTGCCAGAACCATAGGAATTATTGTTGCAAAAGATAAATAAATTAATCTAGCTTGTTGGAGAGTGGGAGGAGTGGAGGATTATTTTCCACAGTCAATTTTCTGGAGCTTTGTTCTTCTATTTGAAAATATTCCAAGAAAATTTGTGATTTCTTTCTTTAAATGACTAGGACTGCAATTGCTTTAGCACTTAACATTTTGGTCATGTTAGGTAACTGTAGTGGGCTGACCCTGGCTGGATGCCAGACACCCACCAAAACTTCTCTCTCATTCTCCTCTGCAGCTCGTCAGGGGAGAGAAAATATAACGAACGATTCATGAGTTGAGATAAGGACCAGGAGAGATCACTCATGAATTATTTGCTCATGAGCAAAACAGACTTGAATTAGGGAAATTAATTGAATTTATTACTAACAAAATCAGAGCAGAATAATGACAAGTAAAATACGATCTTAAAAAAACTTTCCCTCTACCCCTCCCTTCCTCACTCCCTCCCAGCTCTACCTCCTCCCTCCCAGGGGCACGAGGAGACAGGGAATGGGGCCTATGGTTGTTCCTTCAACTGCCCAAGGAGAGTAATCCTTCCCCTGCTGCACCACAGAGTCCCTCCCACGGGAGACAGTTCTCCGTGAACTTCTCCAATGTGAGGCCATCCCACAGGCAGCAGTTCCTCACAAACTCCTCCAGTGTAGGTCATTATTCCACAGAGAGAAGTCCTTCAGGCACAGTCTGCTCCAGCATGGGATCCCCATGGGATCACAAGTCCTACCAGGAAACTTGCTCCACTGTGGGCTCCTCTCTCCACAGGTCTACAGCTCCCAGCAGGAGCCTGCTCCAGCATGGGTTTCCCGCAGGTTCAGAGCTCTCTTTTGGGCATCCCCCTGCTCTGGCGTGGGTCTGCAGGTGGATTTTTGCACTCCCATGGACCTCCATGGGCTGTAGGGGAGCCTGTGATCCAGTGCCTGGAGCACGTCCTGCCCCTCCTTCTCCACTGACCTTGGTGTCTGCAGAGCTGCTCATCACACATGTTCTCACTCTCTTCTTTGGCAGCAATTAGATCTGCACATTAGATCCGTAACTTCTTTTCTTCTTCTTCTTAGATATGTTGTGTCAGAGGAGTAGCCATGGTTTCTAACGAGCTCAGCCTTGGCCAGCATCAGGTCTGTCCTGGAGCTGTCTGGCATTGGCTCTGCCAGACCTGGAGGAAGCTTCTGGCAGCTTCTACAGAAGCAGCTGATGCAAACCAAATACAGCAGCAATGGCATGTCCTTCTGCAGCAAGGAAATGGTTTTGTCTCCACTTTACAGGTGTAAGGATTTACATTTTTAATTCTGCTGGAAAACAGAGTCTAATGGATTTATTCATCCTCCTAGAATGAAGCCTTTTCCTGAGCTAGAAATTGATGGTAGTGTTCTCCACATTTTCCCAATAAGTGACTTAAATTTTGCACAAAAAACTTTTGAAGGAAATGTCTTTCTTCTTCAAGAGATACATTTCCTTAGCTTTGAAGTAGTTTTGTAACGAAGCAAAAGACTCCGAAAAGCACTTAGAGGATGTAGTTGATCGCAGTACAGCAGATTTTGAATGATGACCCAAAATGTCTTTTACACCTGAAACATGCTGTTATCTGGAAGCAAGAATAAATGCTCTAATAGATTCACATTATTAAACATGCAGCAATACATTCAGTTATGCCTTTTAAAGATGTGTGGTGTACATGTTATTAATGCAATCCAAAAATTCCTCAGTTGCCATTAAACTGATCCTGTTATACAGTGTGTTTATTGAGGCCTCCCTCATCCTCAAACCTAATTCTGGTGAACTTTGATGTTATTTATAACACACTGTAATGCTTATAGGCTTGCATAAGAATTGCAGTCTCAATCCCACTGGAAGGAACTGTACCCTTAGGCATGAAATCTTAATTGTTTATCCAGAAATTACCTTAGATTTTAACTTAATATTCTGATCCCTTTCATCAAATCTCAAATATCATAAAGTTTCCCTTTTGCATAAAATACTTCTCTCACCAAAAAAAGTCTTCACATGTCATAGGAGTCCTCAACTACAACTATAGATGCTCATTGTCATATAAGCCAAGTTATGAATTAACCTTTCTTGGATTTTTCCCCTTTTTTCCCAATGGTTCTGTTTTCCTAGATGTTTTCCAAATTTTTCCT